AAGAAGGCACAAACAATATCAAAATAAGAAACAAAACAGAAATCAAAGAAAAGAAATGATTGAAATACAAAATCAAGAATATTGGAAAAGACTCTTTGAAGAAGAAATTAAAATACTTACACCACAAGAAGTAGAAGAAATTAAAAATACCAAGATTAAAGAATATACATCATCAACAATATGGAGAAGATGGTATTTTCTTGCACGAGAAAAAACCAAAACAATCAGAATGGAAGAAGAAACTATTAGTATGACGCTGGAAGAAGACAATAAACAGTACAACCCAAATGAGATTAAAGACAATAGAATATACAATAACTATGTAATGAGTATTGAAAGTGAAGAAGACGATGATAAAGATTCTACGAGAGTAGAAGCTAGGCTTGCTGAGGAGAAGAAGAGGCTGGTAGAAGAGGAGAAGAGGCTAGTAGAAGAAGAAGAGAAGAGGCTTGCTGAGGAGAAGAAGATCACTAAAGGAGAGAAGAAGAGGCTGGTAGAAAAGGAAGAAGAAAACAGTAAAAAGAAAAAAAGAGTAGAAGAAATAGAAAAGAAAGTGGAGGAGGATATGAAAGAGAAAGAAGAAATGAAAAAGGAAATACAAATAAAAGACCAAACCATAAAAAAACTAACTAAGGATATTATGGCATTAAAGAAGAAGCATGAGAAGGAGATAAGCACAAAAAACCACGAGTGCGATAAAAAATATTCAAATTCCATGCTGAATCTGAAAGAAAAAGGTCTGAAGTAAACAATTTAACACAACAATTGCTCTTTCTGAAAGATAAATTATCTAAATTAGAAAATGAAAATACACAGGAAGAAAAGAAGAAAGATGAGGTAACTTACAATATAACAGACTCATCTGAAACACAAATTGTGAATGACCTCTCCCCCAATATGGTAGTAGTTGATGAAATAACACCAAGTGAAGATGATCTTCCAAAAAAAGAAAGTTAACGCAGAAATCCATTGAAGAAATGGATATTCAGCATAAGAAGATCACCACATTTGAATTAGACAAGCAAAAAAACGGGGGAAGCAAACAGACAGAGAAGAAGAAATTTTAACACTTTATAAATGTTTTGTTTTGAAATTATTTGAAAGAAAATTAAGATGTCAACTTAAAGAAGAAATAATAGAAAGATTAATACATGAATTTGGAATTAAAGTTAATGATATTAATGAATATAAAGAAATAATAAAGAAGACATTTAAAATAAAGAATGAAATTAAAAGAGAAATAAACAGAATAATAGAGGAAGAAATAATAAAATGTCAATAGAAAGATAATGAATTAAAAGAAATAATAACTAGAATGAATAAGAAAGAAGAAATAGAAGAATTTGAAGTAATGGAAATATTTAAAGAAGAAGAAAAGAAAGAACAAGAAGATGTACAATTTATTAACTATTATTACAATAAGAAGAAAGTACATCAAATAATTAATATTATTAACAAAAATGAAATAATAATCAATACATTAGATGAATATTACCACTATATTAAATCAGTATCTTCCACTATTAACATAATTAATAAAAATAAACAAGAAAGAAGTGGAAAGAAAAGTATAGAAAGAATATTGCAATCAAAAATATGTAGATTAAGAGATTTACTTAATAATAAACAATATATGAAATTAAAAAGAATATTACATATTAAGAAATATGATATATATCATATTAAAGTAAAAACAATTGAACAAATAAACTATTATAAATACCTCCGAAAGATGAAAAGAATAGAAATAGAAGCAAGAAAGAATAATTGGAAAAGAATAAGATGGAATTATAAAATGATGAAATATGGAAAAAGGCAACATCTAAATAAGCCTAAAGAAGATGAATATCCAGATAATATCTCCACTATTAATTTCTGGAAATGAATCTATGAAACTAATACCAATATAGATTTCCTGAATATTAATTTATACGAAGTATTAATTGAAAATAGAATTAATAATAGAATGTCAATAATCACTCCAAATGAACTAGATTGTGATATTAAATTTACTGCTAACTGGAAGGCACCGGGAGTTGATAAAATACAAGGATTTTGGATTAAATATTTAGAACAACCAAAGAAATATTTATTAAAATTATTTAATGAATGGTTAAGCAATCCTAATGAAATACCTCTTCATTTCATTCAAGGAAGAACAATATTAGTATATAAGAAAGGAGATAAATTAGACCCACAGAATTACAGACCAATAACGTGCTTAAATTGTCTGTTAAAAGTGTATACATCAATATTAAAGATGAAAATAGAAAACCAATTGATGTTAAATCAAATTGAAAAACAATTATCATTAAATCAAATTAGATGTAAGAAATACACATATGCATCAAAAGAATGATTATTATACAACACTATAATCATTAAATTATTAATAAGAATAAATGGAAGTGGGTAGAAACATATTATGACGTCTCCAAAGCATATGATAGTATTAACCACCAATGGATTAAACAATGCTTAATATATTTTAATATCCCACTAGTAGTAATTAATAATATATTATACATATTAAATAATACACATCTTAATTTATATTATAATCAATAAAGTGTAGGTATAATTAATGTAGAAAGAGGAATAATACAAGGTGACAGCCTATCTCCACTTTTATTTGTATTATCCATTGATATATTATCTAAACAATTAGATAAACAAATAAACAAATTAAATATCAAAATGAATGGAGAAGAAAAACAAGTCCAGTTAAACCACATATTATATATGGATGATTTAAAGATAATGACTAATAGCCTCGATGAAATGGAAAAATAACACAAATTAACTAAAGAAATATTTAATGCAATAGGATTAAAAATTAATGTAGAAAATAATTTGATAATGACTAATATTAATATTCAAATAAATGGTGAATTAGCTGAACTACCAAGAGTAACTAATGATAACCCTTATAAATATCTTGGTATTGAAATATGAGATAAAATAAATATCAACAAATATTGTACAAGAATATTAAATGATGTGTCTTCTATTTTATCATCATTAAATACTATGAAATATAGCAGCCTCAATACAATAAGAAAGATTAATAGTGATATAATCTCCAAATTAAGATATGGATTTTGTATTGTCACATGGAAACTAGGAGAATTGGAGAAGATAGATAAACAAATAAGAAAATCATTAATTCACCTCCAACTATATAGTAGAAATATTCCAAAAAGTAGATTATATGTTAAAATAAATGAATTGGGATTAGGATTAATGTCAGCAAGAGATGAATGTGCTAAAGAATTATTAAGAATATATTTAAAATAAAAATATCAAATACATGAATATGAGAAATGATAGAAGCAATAAAAGAAAGTTCAAATTGAATAATTAAAAGAATGAAGAAAGCATTTGGTAAGAAGATTAATTTTAATGAATTAATGAACGTAATAGAATTAAATGAAAGAAAATATGATGTAAAGAAAGTATTTGAATTTGTAAATAATGAATTAAATGAAAGATATTTAAGTGAATGGAAAGAAAAGAAATGTGGTGAATATATAAGATGTGCAAATGGCACTTTCAATGATAAGAAATTAACAGTAGCCACATGGAGGTCATTAAACATAAAAAGAAATGCATTCCTTCAAATAGTAAAAATGCAAGAAGGAGTAAGTATGACAGGAAGTATTAAATCTAAAATACTCCAAAAATGATGTTTTAAAATATTGTAAACATTGTCATAACACAATAGCATCTATTAATCATATATTGTTAGGATGTCCTGTAATGAAGAAGAACCAAATATCAAAACATGATTATGTTTGTAAACAGATATATAAACACATATTAATTACACATTTTAATGAATTTGATGCAATTGATTTTAATAATCCTCCAAAATGTATTAATAATGATGAAATGGTTATAACTTACAATAAAGATTTATTGGTTAGTGACCATTCTTTCCATGCTAGAAGACCAGATATATATTATCAAAATATGAAAGAAAAGAAAAGAAAGGATATATTATAGATGTTGTTATATGTCAAGATAATAATTTAGAATTAAATTAAATTCATAAAATAAATAAATACAAAGAATTACAAGAGAAAATAAGAAACAATAGAGAATTAATATATGTAGAAATTATACCTGTAATATTATCTATAAATGGACTAATACATAAAGAATCAGCAAGAAGATTAAAATCACTAAAATTACAATTACACTTCCCCAAAATCCTACAAACAATAATAATAAAAAATATGAAAGACTTAATGTTTTATACAGGAAATTCTGGCAGCACATTAGAAGAAGAACAATCTAATGCGAGCATGCTAGAAATGAACTCTATTACACCAATAAAGCATATTGAAGAAACTGAAATAATCACTTCTCAGTATGAAGAAAATCCAATTGTGGATATATCTAATAATTGACCTTTTTTTTTTTTTTTTTTTTTCTTCTTGTATTTTCTTTATACTTTCTGTTTCATTTATTATTCTTGCAATTTTACATCTATCATTCATTTCTTTAATTGGGTTTTTGTTTTTAATTTCTGCTTCTATAGCCTTAATGTCTTTTTCCTCCCAATCTTTTGTTTTTTCTTTAAACTCTTCTTTCGTCTTTTCAATTATCTTTTCCTTTTTAATTGAATATACTTCTTGAAGGATATCATACCATCTTTTCCTCTTACCTTCATATTTTTTAAGTATTTCTTCATATTCTCCTTCTTTCCATTCACTTGTTTTTTTTTTTATTCTTTCTTGTATATCATTTATTGTTAGCCATTTGTATTTGTTATTTGTATAATCTTTATTATTATTGTATTTACCTTGTTTCTTATTCGTTTTCTCTTTGTATTTCTCGTCTTTCTAACCTATTTTCCTTGGTGTATCGTTTACCTTTATTATTATAATTGTTATGCTATTTATTGCTATTGACATTTCTTTTTTTATTGTATGACCTTGGATTTCTATGTCTTGTTTGCTTTTCTTTACAAGACCCTAAGGTTTTACACAATAGCCATGGCATTAAAATTTGTTGTATTTCCTGCATTGGAAAAGGATAAAATATGAATATACGTTATAAATGATATAAAATAAAGATAAAATATAAGTAATAGATAAAAATAATAAAAATAGTCACATAATGATATGATTAATGTTTCATATAGTAGTATCAATAAAGATAAATGAAGAAAAGAAGTAGTTAAAAAGAATTGAAAAAGAAGTTAATAAATTAAATAACTTAAAGAATGTTACAACAATTTATATTATTGTTCAATGAAGTGGTTGGTGGAAGGAGGAGTTATTAAATTATTCAATAAATAAAAACTGATATGGATATATATAAATTTAAGAATAAAAATAAGATGAATAACTGAAGGGGTTAGTTCGTTCAAAAGAAAATAATACAATGAACAAATGAATATTTGTGGCTAAACAAAGAATAACAGAGGTTTATTTGATTAAAAAGTGAAGAATAAATTAATAAGCATTGGTTTGTGTATAATAAAAATAAAGAGAGAAAGAAGCATCTCATAAGAAAAAACCCTAGAACAGAAAAAGTAAAGATGAGTATTGAAGAAGAGGTAAGTCTTGAAGAAGTGAAAGAGAAGAAAGAAGAAGAAAAGAAAGATAAAGAAGAAGAAGACAATAAAGATAAAGAGGAAGAAGAAAAGAAAGAAGAGATTCAATTTATTGAACCTAATTTAAATAAACGAATGACAAGTGCTAAAAGAAAACGAGTTGAAAAAGCAAAGAAAAAAATTAATTTGAAACAACGAAGACAAGAATTATTTGAAGAGCTTAGTAAAATCATGTTAACAGAAGAAGAATTACCAAACCTTAAATCAAGTACAAAATTAGGAATTGATATGGATGCAGAGAATCAAGAAAATGTTATTATCATGCCAAAGAAAGTTCAAAAAAAAGAGGTAGTTAAAAAGAAAGTTGAGAATAAGGTTGAGGAAGAGAAGATTACAAAGATTGTTGTAAGTGATGGAAAGAAAACATTTGGATTTGGATTTGTTAATGAGAAAATGGAAGTTGTTGAAAAAGATGAGAAAAAAGGAAGAGATGAAAAAGTAGTTTTTGTTAAAGAAGAGAGTTCTGAAGAAAGTGAAGAAATGAGTGAAGAAATGAGTGAAGAAAATAAAGAAGAGAGTGAAGACAAAGAAGAAGAAGAAAGAAAAGATGATAAAAATAATAAAGAAGAAGAAATAAAGATAAAGACAGAAGAAAAAGGAAAAGAAGAAAGAAAAGATAATAAAGAAGAAGTAAAGATGAAAGAAGGAAAAAATAAAAGAATAATTGCAGTAAATATTAAAAGAACAGAAGAGATTGAAAAAAGAAGAAAAGAATTACCAATATTAATGGAAGAAAGTAATATTATTGAAGGAATAATTGAAAATGAATGTATTATTATTTGTGGAGAAACAGGAAGTGGAAAAACAACACAAATACCACAAATATTATATGAAATTGGATTTGGAAATGAAAAATCCGAATTTAATGGAATGATAGGAATAACACAACCAAGAAGAATAGCAGCAACAGCAATAGCAAAAAGAGTAGAAGAAGAAATGGGAGAAGATGGAGGAGTTGTATCATATCAAATTAGATATGATAGTCAAGTAAATGAAAATACAAAAATTAAATTTATGACAGATGGGATATTATTAAGAGAAGTTCAAAGTGATGTATTATTAAAAAAGTATTCATGTATTATTATTGATGAAGCACATGAAAGAAGTTTAAATACAGATGTATTAATTGGTATTTTAAGTAGGATAGTAAAATTAAGAAATAAAAGTGGAAAAGCAATGAGATTAATTATTATGTCAGCAACACTTAGAGTAAGTGAATTTACAGAAAATCAAAGATTATTTAACAAAGCACCAAAAGTAATTAAAGTAGAAGCAAGACAATATCCAGTACGAACATATTTTAGTAAAAGAACAGAAATTGAAGATTATTGTTCAGAAGCAATTAAAAAAGTAAATAAAATTCATAAAAAATTACCAGCAGGAGGAATTTTAGTATTTTTAACTGGTCATAAAGAAATTGAAGAAGTTTGTAAAGAATTAAGAAATAATAAAGAAAATCAAGATTTATATGTATTACCATTATATTCAAGTTTAGAACCAAAAGAACAAGAAAAAATATTTGAAAAAATTCCAGAAGGAAAAAGATTATGTGTTGTATCAACAGATGTTGCAGAAACATCAATTACAATTCCACATATTAAATATGTTGTTGATAGTGGAAGAAAAAAATCAAGATATTATGATACTAAAAGTGGAATAAGTTCATTTGTTATTGAATGGATTTCAAAAGCATCAGCAGCACAAAGAGCTGGAAGAGCTGGAAGAATTGGAGAAGGATATTGTTATAGACTTTATTCATCATCAGTTTATGAAAATATATTTGAAGAATTTGAAAAAGCAGAAATTGAAAGAATGCCATTAGAAAGTGTTATATTAACATTAAAAGGAATGGGAATTGATAAAGTAATAAATTTCCCATTTCCAAGTCAAATTAATATAGAAAGATTAAAAGAAGCAAATAAAATGTTAGAAATAATAGGAATTTTAGATAATAAAGAAAGAATAACAGAAATTGGTAAAGTTATTAAAGAATATCCATTACATCCAAGATTAGGAAAAATATTATATTTAAGTCAACAAAAAGGAATTGAAGAAATTGGATTAACATTAGTTTCAGGACTAAGTGTAAATGATATTTTTATTGATCAAGAATGTGATCGTAGTTTATTTATAAATAAAGACTCGGATTTAATTAGTCTTATTTTAATGATTGATACTTTCCGTATTGCTGAAGTTAAAAAAAATATTACTAAAGTGGAATATTGTAAACATTATGGTATTAAAATTCAAGCTTTTCAAGAAATTTTATTACTTAGGTCTCAGCTTTGTAGTATTTTAGGTAAAGAAAATAAAGTTCCATCACATTTAATTACTCCTTCTGAACAAATTGAACTTAGAAAAATTATTGCTTCTTGTTTTGTTGATAATGTTGCGAGATTAGTTAGAAGAGAAGAACTTGGTAAATATATTAATTGTGGATTAAGGCATGGTTATCTTACAGCAATTACTAAAGAGCCTGCTGTTATTTCTTCTAAAAGTGTTTTATATGGTCAACTTCCTGATTATATTGTTTTCCATGAAATAGTAGATACTGCTTATAAAACAATGGCTGGAGTTACTCGTGTAAATTTCAAATGGCTTGAAGACGCTTCTCCTGATTTTATTACTTCTTTTGAAAAAAAGTCTTTTAATTAATTCTTTTTTTCTTATTTTTATTTATCTTTCTAAAATATTAATTATTAATGATTCTTCATTATCTATTGATACTTTTTTTATATTTCTATTTATTTGTGCTTTTTTATTCAAAATAATTGTATGTTTTATTACTTTATTTAACAACAAAATACAAATTATATTCAATTCTTTTAAATCATTAAATATTATTTAATTCATATTATTTAAGAATCATTTATATTTATTGTTTTTCGGTATTATTTATTTATTCTCTTTTTGTATTATTTCATTCATTTATTTTACTTCATTAATAATTTATTATTTATTTATTTTATTATTATTTTATTCGTTTTTTTTGAAGATATGTTAATTAAATATTATATTTTGATATATTAGTTTGTATATTTTCTTCTTTTATTTATTCTTTTTTTATTTATCCTTCATTGAATATTGAAATTTCTATTATTATTTATGATAATACGATATTTTGTTTATTTTAGATTGGTTTCTTTATTTTATTCTTCTTATCATTTTATGTTTTTTTGTTTCTTAACATCTTCTTTCATTTATTTCTTTCATTTTATTATTATATGTTTGTTTATTATTTATTTCTTATTTATCTCTCTTCATATTTGTAATTGTAATTGCAAATTGTTTGAATTAAATACTTTTCATTTGACTATTATCTTTTATTATTATTTGTTAATTTATAAAATGTAATAATTGTAATTTCATATATCATTGTATATTATTTATATATTTTATATTCTTTCTTTTTTTTTATTTTTCAATTATTATGATGAATTGTTATTATTGTTTTGTATTCTTTTATTATTTCATTGTTATTTCTTCTTTTAGTATTTGTTATATTGTAATTAATCTGTTAAGATGTATTTCTCTTACTCTTATTAATTATTTCATAATTATTTATAATTTAAATAGAACAGTAGTGAATTTTGTTATTTCTTTGTAATTTCATTTTTTTTTTCAAATAGTATTTTTCTACTTTTTAATATCAATTTCTTTTTTCTTTTATTTCTATTCTAACATATTCTTCATTTTATCTATTCTTTTAAATATTTTTATCTTTATAATTCACTCTTATATTTTCTATTTATTACCATTTTATTTATTTGACTCTGTTTTATTATTTATTCTATGTTTGATAATATATATCATCTATTCTGAATTTCTTATTCCATTTTTATTTTATTGCTTATTTTTTATATTATTATTTCTAAATATAATATATTATGTTAATATCTTCATGATGAATCATTCTTCAATTTAATTCTTGTAACTTAATCTTATTTTTACCTAATTTCTTTATATTCTTTATTTCTTATTTTTTAATTAATCTATCTCTATAATAAACTAACTTTCTTTAGAACATCATTTTATATTTTAAAATACTTTAAACAACAACCATCAATTTTAAAATGTATCATTTCCATTTTGTTCAATGAAAATAATATTTTCTGAAAAAAAATAATACATTAATTAATATATGAGTTAAACAATTTCAAAATGATATTATATACGAAAAAATTGTAATACGTTGTTTATTTAAAAAAAGATATTTTTTCATTACAGTAAATTATGTATTTCTATCAAACGGATTTTCTTTATTTTCTTTTTAATTTGTTAAAATAATTGATTTTTTTATCATTTTAAAAAATGAAAAATGAAAAAATGAAAACTTATAATAACAAAACTTAAATGTTTTAAATTTTTATGTCTATAACATTCTTTGTCACTGGTGATAATCATCTTGGATATTATGAAAAGAATTTAACACTGAAAGATGATTGTTATAAATTATTTGAACAGTACTTAAAAGAAGCAACACAAAAAGAAGGAAGTATTTTGCTTCAATGTGGTGATTTATTCAATGACTTAAGACCAAACAAGTCATGTGTTTCAAAGACAGCAAATCTAATAAAAAAGTATTGTATTGGAGATGCAGATATTCCGTATACAATAAAAGATGAAGCTGAATTATCATATCCATTAAATATAACAGATCCATATATTAATGTAAAACATCCACTATTCACAATTCATGGAACAAATGATGAGCCAAGTGGATATAAATTAATTGCAGGAAGTGAAATATTAGCGTCATGTGGATTAGTGAATTATATTAGTCCAAAATCATTTGAAGAAGAAAAAATGTTAAAACCAGTTATTATAGTAAATGAGCATACCAAAATTGCTTTGTATGGATTATCTGTTTTATATTCCAGTGATCTTGATGAGATTGTGGAAGATGAAACTTTTCATATAAAAAAACCAAATGGAAATGATTGGATTTGTATTCTTCTTCTTTACATTGGTAAAGGAACTATAAGCCAAACAACAAAAGACATTATAGAAAAACATTTTAATATTATTATTTTAGGTGGTCAACATTCATGTAATATTCCAACAGGAGA